TCATCTTGCCTTTTTCCCACTTTAATTGCAATATATTTATTAAAAAATCACATCTAATACATTATTAAACGGACCAGGGCAGTGGAGGGTTTTGACACTGATCATGGTCTACGATATTGCAATTTTCAACTGCAACTCGAAGCGCACTGCTTGGCATATTTATTGTCTAATAAATTCTTATATTGCAACATTTGTCTTTGTAAACTTTTGGTTGTGAAAACATGCTCAGGCAATTGACAACAGCTGGTCCATTAGCTTTTAAACAGCACCCAAATGTTACTTCAAGCCTCCTGATTATAGCACAGCCTAATAGTACTTGTTTAAAATATGCTGTCAATAGTTATGAAAACACAGCTGCAGCACATTAGGCAGGTTATTTGCAGTTAAAAAAAAGCTGTACACTTGGTCACAGCACTATTGGGAGTCTGTGACCATGTCCAGATCCTTTGTACTTGCATAGGTTTCTGTTCTTGCAGGCTCGTGCACAGCAGAGCAGAAGGAACCTATCTAGCTGACCAATAAAACCATAATAAAAGAATTTGAATTAGCTCTTGCAGCCATACATTTCAACTAGGAAGTTTGTCAGCTTATAATCAGCTGAGGAGGTAAAAGTACCTATAATCTCTAGATGCTATTGCACCCCCGGAGGATGCCGTGGTGGTAAAAAAATGGCTTCCTTAGCAGAAAAACGAAGTCAAGGCTTCTCTAGGTTGTGATTAAAAAGCCTTTTCTAGTCTTCAAAAGTAGAGTTTTAACACGCTTCGCTAACACCAAGGAAAGTCAACAGTTATTCTAGGTTTTAAACTCTTTTGCTGGCCTCGGAACAATGTTATATTAAGCTCCATTTTGACTCTTTATATAGCTTCTTTACTATCCGTTAACCAACTGCTCATACCTTAGCGTTCAATGTCTAGAAATTCAAATACTTCTGAAGTCAAGATTGTCACAAGTTATTCGGATTTATTTAGCGTGTCAGGATGGTGTCATAACATATTGAACTTCACTGTTATGAATAGAATATTTTTGCTCTGATTGAACGGTTGCTGTTTCATTTGCCATGCATTTGCACAGATTGTCAAACACATCACAAATTATCTAATAACAAATGCCTCAATTCAGTGGAAAAAAAAGTTGTACAATTCAAATGTGTTGTTGTATTTTATCTAAAGAAGGAGGTAAGATATCATTCAGTAAAAGCATTGCTGGTGATCTTCATAGTAATCGAAGTAATTGAATTCAAATAATTAGTATTGTGCTTCCACTTTGTTTTATGTACATATAGTAGCATCATATTTATCCCGTTCTTTATGCCTGTGCATTTGAATAATGACATTTGGACCCGTAATCGTAATAATATTGCCAGTATCTGTCATATTTCACTCCGACTTAGCATTGTGTCCGATGCTAGATGCCGAAACGGATTAATATGTCACATCTCCCCTTCACCACAAAGATGTTTGTTTTTACACCATTGTTTAAGGCAGTGATGTCATTCAGCTATTGTGCTGTAGAGCATACGAGCATTGCTATTTGTTCATATAGGACGCTATACCATCGGTCGCATTTACATGTTTTTTGGTCTACACATGTATTTTTAAAAATCATCATTGTAAATGCGCCTGTCTTTACCTAAATACAAAGTTGTGAATAAAAAAAAAAGGTCTGCGTCGCTATTCCTGCCCCTAGGGTGAAGGGAAATGGTACCGTGCAGTCAGGGGTAGATACAGTCACTATTTGAAGGGGAGGGGGGCCGCTTAAAGTGACAGCGGAGATAGGGGCGTGATCATTACTGTTTTGTTTTTGTTTTTTACCAGCGCAAATGTCTATCATAGCACAAATACCATTATTGTGTGCTCAAAGGAATCTCGCTATTTGTCGTGATTGGTGATAGCAGGAGAACAGCAAGCACTAAAGAGAGTGGCAGGTAGTACTGACTGGCTTGGGGGGATCGCCCCTAATGTCCCCCTTCGGGATCCGCTACGGCGTGCAGTTCTGCGCGAGAACACTGCATTGATTCCGAATGCCAGCAGTCACATTATAATGGATGTGATATGTACTAATGTTCTTGTGCCATGCACTCAGAGAGATTATGAGGTTAAAACAATTAGGCTTACACTTGAAACAGTGCATCTCATAACCAGATTTTAGTCTTGTGACGTGAAATCATAAAATGTAATTTTAATAATTCCTCTATATACACACTGCTTGCAAAACTTTGCCACAGTTTTTTCAAGTAGATGTTTGATTTATCACAGACTTTATTGCATTGTTTAGCAGTGTGGTTTTTCAAGGCCTTCTAAATGGCCATGACGTTTTTTTTATATTTATTTAAACCAGAAGACAAGTACACCAGGGAACGTTTACTCCATGGGAGGATGTTTGAAACAGTTGGTTGTGTGTTCGAGTTGGTTCATACACACGCCTTTTCCAAATCAACAAAAAATTCCTTCATTCAAAACATACGTGAGATATGACATGCTAGTAACTTAACCGTGATGTCACACATCGTCGAAAACTCATTTCGATCCCTGTAGCGCAACAGATTAGGAGCGGTGGCCGCAGCCACAACTCCGCGAACCACCGTGCCGCTAACAAGTCGGCGAGTTCTAAGCGACGTCGTTCAGCTCGAGCAAGCGTACGCGAGACCAAACATGGTGCTGCACGCGGAGTGTCTGCCGCCAGCGAACGTCGAACGGGAGAGCGAGCGTACGCTTGGCCACCGCTGCGAACAGGTCCGAGCTATTTTGAAGCTTGCGCCAAAAAAATCGACGGTAATACGGCCCTTTTCCACAAACTCGAGCGAGTGCAGCGCGCAAACGCGACTCCGCCGCCGCGGCCAGCGGACGGCTCCTTGCGACCGGCTGGCGGGAAAGCCAACTGCAATGGCGACCAATATTCAGTGAGTTGCAATGCTAGCGAAAGCCCTGCCAGCCCGTGCTGGTGCACTTACAGCGCGCTGACATACTGCAACCAAGCTCTTTACGAGAACCCGCAACGTGTTTTCGACGGCTCCCAACACAGCGACGAGCTCTCAGCCCAATATCTTCAGCTTGAAGCTCATCGCGGTGGCGAAGACAGGTGAGCACTCGATGAGCGAGCGTACGGGAGGCCGACGACAATGACGGCTAATTTCCAGGTGGTCGAAAGCACAGGCGAACTGCAGACGCCAAAGCTGACCTTCGCGATGCATTTCGTGCGTGCGATATACAACACGACCAAGCCCGTTGCCGACAAGCGCGATTCGTATCGCACACGCCACAAGTAGAGTAGAATAAAGAATGATAACCTACTTGCCTTATAATCCAGCGCTGTTTTCTGCCCTGAGTGGGACTGAAATATATATCCGATAGGACTGTTCTTCTCGGCCGCCATATTGGCCTTCTCACCTGTCGCTGTCGTGTGTTGGTCGTGACTACCTTGAAACCAGAGATAAACAGCGCGGTGTGGTGACCTGTTGAGGCTTGCTCCAGACTTCATGGGTGCAGCTAAACGCTAAAGCAGCAGTCCACGCTCATCCAAGCGTACACACAAGCACCATGTCGTAATTCTTAGACCGTCGAATCCAGGCGGCTGTGGTCGAGCACTCCAAGCGCGACGCAGCGTGAACCGTCGCCGGCAAAATACGGGGAAAGACTGAGCCAGCAGAGGAAGAGAAGGACATGTGTTCTATGGAGAAGAAGGGCTGCTCACCTTGGCAACGCTTTTTGCGCTGCCTGCAATCCCCGGGCGGTTCATCTCTACTAGAGCGTGTTTGGAGACTAAGTGGTTTCACGCGGCACACTTCCCTCTGTGGTTGCTCCTCAACGATCTATCCGTTCATCGCGCGCGCCTATATTGGGCTGCGTCACTTCTTGTTCGAGTAGTTTTGCCTTAGAGTGTAGCTAGCTAGCTAGCTAGTAACCTACCTACCTACCTACCTACCTACCTACCTACCTACCTACCTACCTACCTACCTACCTACCACCTACCTACCTACCTACCTACCTACCTACCTACCTACCTACCTACCTACCTACCTACCTACCTACCTACCTAATACCTTTACCTTGGTAGCCGCTTAGGACTTTTAGCTCTCATGACAAGTTCGACAAAGGTATTGTTATCAAAATTGTTTTGACATAACATGACTGTATGAGAAGCATAAGTACTTAGTTATAACATGTGTGTCATGAATGTCATGATTCATACTTTATGGTCTGGCTGCTCTTTTGGTGGTTTCGTTCGCGTGACACTTGCAATACTGGTTTGGGTTGGCATGAGGGCAAGGTGAACACAAGTGACAGACCTAACATACATATTATGACATGCATGTCATGAAAGAAAATTACATGTCCCGCTCATGATGCACTCATTATGCACGTGATGTGAATTGACGACGAAGGTAAATGACACAATACTTTTTTGCAGACTAGTTGGTTCATACTTGAAAAATTGAATTGCTGCACGAACTTGAAGAAAAAAACAAGAGAGACAGGAAAGAGTGCAGCACTCTTTCCTGTCTCTCTTGTTTTTTCTTCAAGTTTGTGCAGCAATTCAATTTTTCAAGTAAATGACACGTTCTGACATGATAATCACAACATCTGTGTCATGTAAAAGGTGACTACATCCTACACTCATAGAGTGCTCGCGCTGTTTTTCTGGCTTCACATATACCAAGTTTGGTATCACATGACGTGAGGGGACGACGAACATCAACGCCAGGTGCAGACATTAAAATCATGACATGAAAGACATGTGTGGTATAATATACACCCACATTGTAACGTTGTGACGATTTTAAATAGACAAATGAATCTTCCTCATTCGTGCTTCGCATATAATCAATTTTCGCTGTACGTTGGATCTGCCAATTTTTTTTACTGTGACATCGCGTAAGAACGATTGAAGAAGAATACATATCAGATGCACATTTCCTTGCCGTTATTTGTAAGCAATATATTTCTAGCACTTCTGATCTGTTAGTCCATTTTTTTCAACAGCATAATATTTACTTCACGTAGGCTGTGCTGGACCATGAGACGTACGTGATGAACTTGACCGAGGCGAACGCGGACCCGACGCGGGAACCTCGCTGGCATCTGGAGTACGCGGCCAAGGTTCAGTATGGCATGCAATCCCTGGAAGCAGCTGAATGGGACAACTTGCTGAATAGAATGGAAGCCGACGATGAGTTATTTCAAAGCTTCTATAGGTACGTCGACATCCTACGCGGTACTTTCGTAAAGGCCGCAGAAATGGTAGAGCTTTGGGAAGCGAGCAGTCGCATCCATGACGTGATCGGTGCCTGATCGGCCCTTGATGCCATCATACATCAAGCACTGATTCGCACAGTAGATTCTCAGTTTAAAACTTGTTCGTGCTAGTTCTATCTGGTCACAGAAAGATAGAATAAGACGTCAAGCAATAGCGTAAATTTGTGAACTCCCTGTTCAAGGCTATCAAATTACGCTTGGCCGCTCTCGAGTAAACGCTATTTTTGAATACTTCCGCACTTTACGACCACTTTCAAAATAGTGAACTTCTACAGTCCACAAGCTGTCTTCCAGAAAGGATGATATATAAAATTGATTCCGCAGAAACAACAATAAAAATCGTCTTGAGAATCCTGAAGACAAAAATAGGAATTCTTTACAGGCCAGCGAAAAGAAGTTTTTTCAGACACACTTGAGGCTGAATTGCCTCAGATTGGTACAAGATTGTTGCAGATTGGTACGAGATTGGTACACACCATGGTAGTGAACTTCGCTCCGTCATTTTTAAACTGCTAGACTGCCGCAAACAAATCAATGTTCTAAAAAATGACCGTAAGCTAAAGGAATTCCCACTGCAGATAACTAAGGATTTCACTTAGCATCTACGCATTATTGCCCAATAAATATGAGCCGCCATGACGTGCTTTAGAAACAACGATTCCGCTTTACACTTAAAGGGCCATGAAACGGTTTTTTGAAGTTTTGTAAGCGTTTAGGTTGGATCCTTATCAAACTCTTCGCACCTAATATTTAGCGATGCGCGGGTACCAAGCCGCTATACGGAGAATTATATCATACTTTGCTTCTTATCCCCATCGCGCCTTTTTAGCTCATGGGACACGCTGGCGTATCTCATGAGCTATCATGAGAGCACTCGACAAATTGAGCTTTGCCAAGTCATGATCTCCAAGAGCGCACACAGACAGGTTGTGTAGCTTCTCGGAGGCCATCACGTAGTGCACCCAGCAGCATGCACGCTTTCTGGCGACAGTGATGAAGATCGCGCAGTGGTTGACATCTGCTGCAACAGGTGCCGCAACCCTACCAGCTGGTTTTACTAAGGCGCGTTCCATAGCCACTAAGATCAGCAGCCTGGGTGACGTCGTGTTAACAGAACATGTCGCTCTGTGATTGGGCTTTTGAAAACGCCTTTGGCTGAGTCTCAGCAATCTGCAGCAATTGACAGCATTACAGCGTTGTAACAAGTTACACAGCTTGTGCAAATAGGTACCATTGGCCTGTTGTGATAAGTGAAGTGCTCGCTTGAAAAGTGCGCCCATCGGTCAGCTTGACGCGTAGAAAAAGATGACGATGACGACTGAATGTGCGCACGCGAGCTTGTTTGGTACAAGGACCATCTAACGTTTACCCGCACCAATTTATACCTGAATTTATTCAAAAACGGGATGATTTTCATGCCTATTTGTAGAGAATTCTAAATGTCACAACCCGTCAGAAATGGCCAAAAAGTAAGTGGGCCACGACATAAGGTTTGTATTTGAGCAGAGGTATTTGATTGCTTGTCTCCAAAGGAGGCAGTTGACTACGAGAAAGCCAAGTTAGCGTTACTGCAACGATTCGGCTTCACGGTGGAGAGCTACCGGGAGACGTTCCGGCCTAGCAAACCTCGAAATGGAGAAACAGGCAAGCAGCATGCAACGATGTTAGCTAATTTTTTCGAAAGATGGGTAATGTCCAAGAACACAAAAAATTATTCACCTGTTCGGGATCCTATAGTAGCTTAACATTTTATCAATCAATGCTATAACTGCGTGGCGCTTTTTCCACGCGAGAAAAACTGTCGCAAGCTCGATAAACTGGCTTAGGCTGCAGATAATTTTTTCGAAGCCCAATTTCAGTGAAAGTTGTTAGTTTTTTACGACAAGACCGAGACAGAATGACTGTTTAGCTCTTGCAACAGATCCAACGATTTAGCTGTTCGTTCCAGAAAAGTTCTGACCTATCTATATTGGTCCTCGTCCTCGCCACTAGCTAGCGTTGACTGAACTTGTGCTTCGGTTCTGTGTGTCTTGACAAATGCTTCTACCCACTTCTCGAGCTCTCTCGCATGAACCGCATACCTATTGAACATGCATCTTGACTTTTGTGCGCTTACAGATATATTCTTATCGTCGTCGACCGTGCATCGCCTTGGTGTACCACGGCTGGTTTTAAACTACAATACTCTGTAGCAACCGCCGTGGAGTTCGCTATCCTGCTGCAGTACAATCCTATGCAGCTTTCTTCTTCTACCCTTCTCATTTTTGAAGACTGGTCATCTTTACAGGAGATCACCTCGAAATCTTTGAAAGCGCCTTCCACACTAAATCGTTATGCCCTGACACAAGGACTCTCTCTTTCTGTGTACATCTAGGAAGGTGCAATATGTTGCACCTTTTTAGATGCACACATTCATTTCAAGGAACTCAACTCTTTTTTTTCCTGAGTTGTACCAATTCATACTTAGCTTTGACCCGGTACATTCGTCAGGCTCGCTCTTGCTCTTCGCTTTTCCAATTCCGACTCGCATCCTAAACGTCTCAGCCAAGCCTCGGCCATGTCTCACGTCTTCTTTCTTGGACTGCTTCTGCAAATCTTGTGGGAGCCTCTAATTAGTCAAGTTTCTCGACGTCACCACACACACTCTTTCTCCACTTTGTTTCCTCTCCGAATGCACGAAACAAGCTCACGTGCACTCATTCAGTTGTCCTTCATCGTCTTTCTCTCCGAGTCATGCTGACGGATTGGCGCACTTTTGAAATGCGCAGTTTACTTATCACACCTGTAACCCTAGGAATTGACCCCGCAGCGGTGGTATAGTGGCTAAGGTACTCGGCTGCTGACCCGAAGGTTGCGGAGTTGAATCCCGGCTGCGGCGGCTGCATTTCCGATGGAGGTGGAAATGACGTAGACCTGTGTGCCCATTTCGGGTGCACGTTAAAAAACCCAGGTGGTCGAAAATTCTGGAGCCCTCCACTACGGCGTCTCTCATAATCATATGGTAGTTTTGGGACGTTAAACCCCACATATCCATCCATCCCTTAGGAATCAGCCTATCGTACTAATGTGTTTATACAATGTTACAGCGAAAGCTGTTATGAGATCCAAACTCGAGTCACGCGCGGTTGTCCACCGCCGCAGCGGCCGTCCGCCGCGGCTTGTCGTATCAACATCACGCGAAATTAGAAAAAAAAAAAACTAGCACCAGTGTTGCAGTAGGGCTCTAATCCGGGTCCGCTTGGTGCCAGCCCACTATTCTACCAATGAGCCACGCCGGTGTTTGGGACTGATTGGCAAATTCGCCTTAGGTAGGCTAGATGGCGGGAAAGCAGTCGAGTTATTGTGACATATAAAGTGTTTTAAAACAGCAAAACAACAACTAGACGTCGCGGAATGCTTATAGCGTAACAAGTGGGTCGTCCAATGCTTCAACCACTACATAAGCTTGTTCTTGTTCTCCTAATGACTGGGGCGCATACCTACTTCATCCATAAATCCTCTTAGTCGTGCGCCACTGCACGAACAATTGGCACAAAATTTCTTGCAAGTGTATAGCGAATACCACGCTTCTCAGAAGAATGACGAAAAATAGCACAGCGAATGCCAGCTACGGCCCAAAACATTTATTAAAAAAGACCTTGTGGGCAAGAAGCAAGTGAGCTTGCAGTATTTACCCATTCAGTGTTTTGAAAAGGCTCTAAAAGGCCGCTCCTTTACCTTCCGCTGTGACTGTGCTGCGCTTTCTGCGCAGGCCTGGCGTTTTTGTCTAAATCACTTGAGTGTTTTTTTTTAAGTTATGAACATGTATATGTAGATAGTGAACGCTATTACCTGGAGTGTATTTTCAATACAATAACGAAGCCCCCAAAACGTATCTCTTAAGCGCTCTACTCTTCCATTTGGCCGTGCAAATTGACCCCATCAGGATGCACGAGATAGTATGTGCCTCCTGAATAACAATGTTAGGATCGAGTGTGAATAGTAAACTTCCTAATTTGATACACTTACTTGCCACTTATTGCCGTCATAATATTCGTGTCATGAAAACTTGGCTTCACGCTGACAGTTATGTTTCGGAAGTTACTCCAGCAGTGTTCGGTGTTGTTCGTATTGATAGGCAACACAGCCTTGGTAGTGGCGTTGCCATCTTCTTGAAATCTTACTTGAGCTTTTTTGCCTTGAGATATAGAAGTGGTCTAGTGCGAAGTTCATATCGCCAACGTTTCTTAAAATTTCAGTGTGTTTTATTCTCCCTCCGGCCCATTACAAGATCAGTTAATGGTGGAAAGAGGAGGAAAACAAGTGCGTTCGGGCATGATTCTGCCTTGAACAACTTACGTTTTTTTTTCTTAAACGGTCAGAATTCCTGACTTTCTCTGAACAAGTGGAACGGAGGACTTCACCCCCGGGATGGGGGACCATCCATCAAACGAGACCGCGGGCCCTAGCCGTTTGCATAAGGATGAACTGAATGTGGATGACCGCGTTGGCGCACCTGCTCCTTGTGATGATTCTACCGAGAGCTCATCAGCGGAAAAGATGGAATCGGAAGCCGACTTCAGGACATTCCATACCCGCCGGTTGAAAAGGAAGCTTCGCTGAACGTCATCGACGGCGGCGCCACAGCCGGCGCTAGACAAAGGCAAGCGATGTTTCACCATCTCGTATGTACCCATCTCTACATCAGACAACCTGAACTCACTAAACTGGCAGTCATTGACTAATTATTTCGAGCGAGTTTCACCTGCTCATGTGAATGAAATTCGCATAAATAGCACAAAAACATATTGTCAGTTGATGTGACAAACAAAACCATTCTTGACTGACTGAAGGCCGTCACGCAGCTCGGAAGTATTTCAGGTCGCGCGTTCCTCGCTCATGGGAAAGAAACAACGATTGGCGTGATAAATGACGTCGACACTGATATCACAGACACTGA